AAATTTATGCGCGCAGGGGGTGACGGGAAGTAAGGTATCATATTGCTGATTAGGCAGAAAAAATAAAATTGGCGGCCGTGTAAACACGGAGCAGCTTAAAATACTTGTAAATATTGGATTATTTCGGTTGTTTTTTTTTGTTTATAACTACTCCAAATGGCTGGTCAAAGTATGTTTTGGTTGTTATTGATGGTCTATCCGACTTAATGGATGAAATAATATGCTCAACGTCAACAAATACTTCATCTGTACCTTTCTGTGACGAAATTATTAAAACACTTCCGAAGAAAAAAGCTCGAGGTGGTGGTACAGCTTGTTATTTCCCTGGTTGTAGCAATAGTACGAGACGAAATCCATCCTTGTCTTTTCACAGATTCCCTAAAGACCAAACGTTAAGAAACCCATGGATAGATAGGATTGGACGGAGTGAATTCACGCCAAACGACCATCATCGTGTGTGTTCGGAACATTTCCCTGATGGCAAAAAGATCTACTTCAACAACATACCAACCGGTACCCATGCAGATCAAACGCCAAACCTGCTTCATCAAAGAACAGTTCTTGCAGAACTAAGCAATAACACAAACCAAATTAACATTGCAATTGAAGTGGATAAAGTCAACAAAGTACAATCAATACCGCAGAAAAAAATATCGAGCTAATTGAGGAGAATATTCAGGATAGAGTACAACGTCTAGAAGATGAGTTGGCCAACTTGAAAGGAAAGTATGAAAGGTATACCACTTCACTTAAAGATGATCTTAAACGCAAATCATTCTCAATTGACCGTTTTAAAAGCTCTGATACTCACTTTGAATTTTACACTGGTTTCCAAAATTATGACAGATTTAAAGTTTTTTATAATTACTTTAGCCCTGCATGTACGAGACTATCATATACAGGATCCAACAATGGCAAGATTGAATCTGCAGAGTAGCAAACACGTGGCCGCAAACGATTCCTAAGCCCAGAGGAAGAATTTTTCTTGTTCTTACCAAATTAAGATGTGGTTTGCTTGAGAGAGACTTTGCTGCAAGATACAACATTTCTGCGTCGCAAGTCAGTAATATATGGATAACTTGGCTGGATTTGCTATATCAAAGATTACGATCGATTCCTATTTGGCCTTCCAGAAAACATGTTGATGCTACAATGCCAGCAAGTTTCAAGGAAAATTTTCCACAGACAAGGGTAGTCATTGACTGCACGGAGATGTTTATTGAGATGCCATCTGCACCAGTTACTCAAGGAGTCACATTCTCCTCATATAAGCACCACAATACTGCTAAAGGACTTGGTATTTCACCTGCAGGAACTCTCACGTTTGTGTCAGAACTTTATGCTGGGAGGACATCAGATAAAGAGCTAACAAATGATTGTGGGATTCTTAAATTGCTAGAGGAAGGAGATCAGATTATGGCAGATAAAGGTTTTCTTATTGAGGATTGTCTGCCAGATGGAGTCACATTAAACATCTCCCCTTTTTTGAAAGATCAGAATCAGCTATCCATGCATTGAAGATGAGGTGAAGACAAGAAGAATTGCTAAGGAAAGGATACATGTGGAGAGAGCAACAGAGAAGATAAAAAATTTCAGAATTCTACAGCAGGTAATACCTCTAAGTATGGCAGTAGATATCAACATAACCTGAAGTTCAGTCCCTAATCACAGAATAGGGCCTGACACAAAACCTATCTAAACTGAGGGATTCCCGTCCATCTGGTGGACGGGAAATCTGATTGGTTGATCAGCATCATAAAGGATTTTGATTGGTTGCAAGTTCAAATAAACAACAGTTTTAAAAATAGCTCGGTCAAGGGCTCAAGGCGACAATTAATATAAAGGTCAAACGCACGTAACAAATTCCATTGTCGATTTCTCGAATTTCTTTTCTTTTATGCTTTATGGCAGAAAATAAATCAAACAAACAGTATTTTGAAAGGTCTATGACGAATGTTGGACACACGACGCTGAAAGAACAGCCAAACTATAGTCATATATTCGAAAGCTGGTTGTTGACAGCCAAGATGTTCTACCAACTGGCTTCGCCGGCAAAAGTCTTATATTTTTAATATCAGGTCCTACCGGCGTTGTTTTCTGAGCTACATCGCCTTCTTCGTGGTACGATTGAGAATTTCATTGTTGCTGTTGTTAGCCCGTTTAATAGAGTGTATCCGCGTCCAGCAAGTTGAAACCTTGAGAAAGCTTGGCAGTCAAGCCATGCACAGAACTGACTAATCAAATCTTTGTTTGCTGTTCGGTTAAATCATGGATGGAGAAACTGACTCTTAATTATATAAAAGTACCTTAAATTTTTAAGTTTAATTAAGGTGGCTCCATACACTTTCATCATCGGGGGACTGGTACCTAATCTTGAGTTTCGCGCGAAAATATTACAAATATATGCAAAAATAAATACAACTTTTTCAGTCTAAAATTCGAACCACAAGTCATGGTTATTTTGATGTTTCGAGTCTTTTTTGTTCTCATTCGTTCTCAAAGAACAAACTTCGTCCTGATTTAGCCCTGAACATGGAATAGCTAGTCTTTTTAGAAGACATTTTAAGGTAAAAAATGCAATGTTTAACGTTCAAACTCTTGTAAAAACCGGCGATCGGCCCGACCGGCGAAACGTTTTTTACTCCAATATTTGACGTTTTATATGTTCATATATCCAGAGTTTTTTGTACTTACAACTGGTAAATGTATTCAAAGTGTCACTAACAGCAAAGGAATTCAGTCAAACAGCATCATACGCCGGCTCAAACTGTTTTAAATTGTCAACAACAACATGAAAACACACAAGTTACGACTGTAAACGAATATAAAACTATGTAGAGAAGCCAAAAAGTTCATACATGTCACACATATCTTATACCATACGACACAATCACCTGTTTTCTTGGCGTTATCCCGAGTTAGCATGCAAAACTAAAGATATTTGCATTTCTAAGCAAGAAAACACAACATATATTTGATATTTCGACGAGACTAAAAACCTTTTTGTGCGTGTTTTTCTGGAGATGCGCCTGCGAAAACATGTATGCGCATGTCAATTCATTGATCTTGCAGAGCTCGAAAAACTTTCGGCCGAGCGAGTGAGATACTACAATAAAACGGTGTAATTC